AAAAAAAAAAAAAAAAAAAAGGAGAAGAAAAGAAAAAGGTCACTCTCAGGGCCAGGGAATGGAAGGATGGCTTGGTAAAGTACAAGCTTGAACTCCAGGAGAGTGATGAGGTCGTGGCCACCTGGGTTCAGACAAGAGGCCCTGATGGGGGCCTTCAACTGCTTTTGACCTTCCCTGCCCCTTGCCAGTCGGACCTCTTCCAGGATGATCTTTACCCTGACACAGCCGGGCCTGAGGCAGCCTTGGAGGCAGAGGAATGGGTGAGCGGGCAGGACGCTGAGCCCATCCTCATCTCTCTCCGGGAGGCCTATGTGCCCAGCAAGCAGCGGGACCTGAAGGTCAGCAGGCGCAATGTGTTATCCGACAGCCGGCCCACTGCGGCCCCAGGCCCCACCCGCCTGGGGGCCCCTGCCATGCCTGCTACCGTTGCTGACACCACCCCCAGCAGCAGCATTGCCGGAGCTGGGGTATGTGTCCCCAGCCAGGGGTGGTATTGGGGACCCCATGTGTCATCCAAGTGCACAGCATGTTCCAAATCTGCCCCATCTCTCCCCTATCCCTGCAGGAGGCTGGAAAGTTAGAGGAGGTGGTACAGGAGCTGCAGGCGCTGAGGGCACTGGTCAAGGTGCAGGGGGAGCGCATCAGCCGCCTGGAGTTGCAACTCGGCCGCCTGGAGAATGGGGATGCATAGGCCACCGCCTATGGACACAACCTCCACCTCCCCTCCTTCCTCTCAGTTTCTGCAGTGGGTCTTACTGGGCAGGCTGTTGAGTCTTCTGAGGCAGCTCTGGGGCCCCGTCACGCTCAACTTCCTTGGGGCTAGGCTAGAGCCACGCCTGGCTCACTTCATCACTGGGAGGGTTTTTGTACCAAGGCGAGCTTTCTTGTCCTCTGAGGGACTGGACCATCCCCCCACTCCTGCCTGCCTTCCATTCCCTCCCCAGAAGAGGTGGGTGGGATGGGCATTGTATTTTCATTACAAATAAAATAATCTTTCTAAAAGCCAGGGTTGGCCTACTGCTGCAATGGGGGACTGAGGAAGTAAGTCTGGATACCTCGGGACAGATGAAGGTACAGGACTTGGAGTTGAGAAAGGTCTAGGGGAGGCTGGGCAGGGTGTCTCACGCCTGTAATCCCAGCACTTGGGCAGCCAAGACAGGTGGACTGCCTGAGTTTACAGGTTCAAGACCAGCCTGAGCAAGATCAAGACCCCTCTCCAAAAAAAAAAAAAGCTGGCTTGGACAGCACCTGTGGCTCAAAGGAATGGGGCACCAGCACACAACTGCAAAAAAAAAAAAAATTGCCAGGCATTGTGGCAAGTGCCTTTATCCCAGCTACTTGGGAGGCTGAGGCAAAAGAATTACTGAAGCCCAAGAATTTGCCACTCTACTGAGGGTGACAGAATGAGACTGTCTCAAAAAAAAAAAAAGGTCTAGGGGCCACAGACAACCCCACAGTCACTGCTGCTCCAAGTTCCATCATGCAGGGAAACTGAGGCAGGCCCATGGACACATCCAAGGCTGTGTCCTGCTTTCAGCTGGGTGCCTGGTTTTTTTGGTAATGAGCCCCACAGCCCCAGTCTCATCCAGAGACCTATTAGGGCTTGGCATGTTTCAGGGTGGTTCTGAGAGGCCCAGGCCCTGTCTGGGGTCCTGCGGCATGGTGGAGTGGGTGGGGAGCTGCGGGCAGGAAGCGGAAGCATCGGGTCACCCCTAGCTGCAGTTGAGAGCTGAGAACTCACTTCTCATTCAACGTGACCAGAGCTAGAGGTGGGCACCAGCACTGAGGGGCTGCTGGACCGATGGTAAGTGCTGGAGGCCCTGGGTTCTTGGGGCAGGGACAGATTTGGGCTGGGATAACTAAGCTGGAACTGAGAAAGCAGCTGTTGGGGCCCTGGGGCAGAGATGAGACCCAGGATAAGCATGGGGCAGAGGCTGGATCTTCCTTACCTCAGAGCTCGGCTTTGGGGTATGACCCCTAGTGCCAGGCTTGGCCCCCAAGGTCCCTGGGATTGCCCATGTTTGCTCCTCTTGTGAAGGAAACTCAATGCCCCTGGAGCTGGGCAGAGCACCTCGTGGGGGGTAAGGCTGGGCTGCACCTCGGCAACCCTCCCCCCCACAACACCCCCACCTAGCTTGTTCCAACCGCAGACTTCCTCTGGCAGCTGCACCCGCCTCCCCGGCCCCTGGCCCTGTGCGCCTGAGGCCCTGAGGGACAGGGAGTAGAACGGAAACTGCAGCTGGGGCAGCCCCATGGCTTGGGGGAGGGAGGGAGGGGCCCCTCAGGGACCCCCATCGTGTGACCTGGCCAAGCAGATGAACAGTGGTCTCCGGGTTAGTTCAGAACCCTCCCTCCTGCACCTGGGGAGAGCCAGCCCTGACACCAGCCTGGGGGTCTGGCTTTCCCTCTGTCTCCCCTCACTCAAGCAGGCAGATTCAGGTGTTCAACCAGTATTTACTGAGCACCTACTCTGCCAGGTATCATTTTTTGGTGCTGGACCTGAAAAATCCTTGTCTTCTTGCAGCTTATTCAGGTGGGGATGTACAGTGTGCTAGGCAGGTGGGTTGCAGTGACAAACATCAGGTGGTAACTGAGGTCAGGTTAGACCTCACTTTGGGTGATGCCTGGACTAAAGTGAGGGGATGCACGTGGGGCCCTTGGGGTGGTACATTCCGGGCAGAGGGAACAGCCAGTGCAGAGGCTGCAGAGCAGCACGGGTAAGAGTGGGGGCTGATTTCAAGGGACCAGGGCCTGGCTGCCAAATAAGGACTTGGGCTTTTCTGCTTCACTGTCCCGTTTTGCCTATGAGGACCCACTCAGAGAAGAATGTCAAGTGCTCTTGGTCATGGGGCCTGCCCCCTACCAGCACCCACCCCAGGTGATGAGCCCCTGTCTATCTCCTGCAGGCTCTGCCCTGTGCACTAGGGCTTGGGACACTGCTGGCCCTGCCAGGGGCCCTGGGCTCTGGTGGTGGTGTGGAGGACAGCGTGGGCTCCAGCTCCATCACGGTTGTCCTGTTGCTGCTGCTGCTGTTGCTGCTGGCCACAGGCCTGGCACTGGCCTGGCGCCGTCTCAGCCGCGACTCAGGGGGCTACTATCACCCAGCCCGCCTGGGCGCTGCGTTGTGGGGCCGCACCTGCCGCCTGCTCTGGGCTAGCCCCCCAGGCCGCTGGCTTCGGGCCCGAACAGAGCTGGGGCCACCAGATGATGACCCAGAGCCACAGGAGGATGAGCAGGATATGGACGACGACTACATCTCAGATGGCGGCCTGCAGGCTGAGCCACAAGAAGGCCAGCAGCTGTGTGGAGAGGCACCCGGCCCAGAGCAGGTCTCAGTGCAGGCTGAGGAAGCACCTGACAGTGACATGGAGGCAGGCATGGATCTCAGCTCCCCAGGGCGGGCAGGCTCAGGGGGCAGTGCTGAGGCCCTTCTGAGTGACCTGCATGCCTTTTCTGGCAGTGCAGCCTGGGACGACAGCACCGGGGCAGCAGGGGGCCAGAGCCTCCATGTCACCGCACTATAGGGGCCAGTCTTGGTGTCTGATCTGGGTCACAGCCATTCACAGTCCCTCTGCTTCCCAAGCTACCATGGCTGGCCACAGCTTCCACCCGACATGGCATTTCCCAGACTGTCATTTCTCACCAGTCCCCAAATCTGTGCATCCCACCCCCTTCTAGGAAGGCCTCCCATCCTCACAGTCACTGAACAGTCATTTGAAATAAAGCCCTCCAGCCCTGTGGTCCTGTGCTCCTATAGTGACCCTTTCTTCCTGAGCAAGAGGTCCCCTTCCTGCTCCTGGCCACCAGGAGTCCAGCCAGAAAGCCAGGTCAGTGCCATGATTCAATCCTTTAATTTCCCGAGGGCACAGGTCAATTTGGGGCTGGAGGCAACAGAGCCCTCATGCCCACAGTCACCACCTGCAGCCCTCCATGCTCATGATTCAGGGGCATGGCCACCCCTGGCAAAGACACACACACTCACTCTCAACCCCCAGATCTCTGGGATTAGCCCAGTGTTCTACTGCCCTCACAGACTGCAGGGAAGGCCTCCATAGGCTGTCCTCATCTATTCTCCTAGCGTCCAGGGCGGCCGCGACCCTTCTTGGATTTCTTGGTCCCTGAGGGGGGACGGATAAGGAGGGGGGCAGTGCTTGAGGGTGGCGGTGGTGGCAGCAGTGGAGGAAGAGGTGGCTCTGTGGGTTCTGACAGGCTGGGTCGGAAGGCCTCAAATGGAGAGAACTTGAGGGGGCTGCGGGGAAAACCAAGGCAAAGTCAGAGCCTTTTGAGCCCTGCCAGGGCCTGCTGGCCCTAGATCAGTAAGGATAGACTTGCCATGTGCCTGGCTGCACAGGCTGTAGGGTCCACTGAGTCTCATCTAAGCAGTCCCAGCTATAGGTGTGCAAGGATAGAGGTCCCCATAGTAGATGAGGCCTGAAGCTGACACTGGTTAAGAGATTTGGCCAAGGCAGCCCAAAGCTAGACCTGGCCTCCTGCCCACTAGGGTCCCCATCCCAGCCACAAACTGTCCTGTGTCCCTCAGTACCTTACGGGAGTCCGGGGGCTGCTGTTGAGGCGCCTTGGGGAGCGCAGCTTAGGCTGGAAGGAGAAGCCCTCCTTAATGCTCTCCAGGACAGAGGGCGCCACATATGTGAAGCCCTGCAGGGAGAGGCAGGGCCAGGTGACACTCAAGTGTCCACCACTCTCTAACCACAACCCCTGCCCTGCTCCTGTAAGCCCCAAGCCCCCAGGCTCTCACCACAAAGGCCTGGTTGGCACTCTCACTGAGGGCCATGTCATCCGGACTGTCCACTGGTGTCTGCCGTGTGAAGCGGGTATCAAACTGGCTCACGTCCTCCTCTGACTGCTGTGGGCAAATCCAAGTGGGAAGCAGTCAGAGGGCATCGAAGATGTGGATCCTCTGTCATCAATGGGAACGCCACTCACCAGACAGGGCCTGAAAGGGGGGTCCACACGGCGGGCCAGAAGATCATCCCAATTCAGGTGCCGGAAGAAGGGGTGTTTCTGTAGATAGAGAATGCCCCAAACCTGCCAACAGTCTGCCCACCCTGCTTGGCTCCCTTAATACACTGCTGTGTCCTAGACCCTCCATACCCAGTCACCCTGGAGCCTCAGCCTTGTCCCTGGTGGTGTTCCCAGACCCACCTGCACATCAGCAGCATCCCCTGGACCACCCCCAATCCGTTGGCTGGGATTCCGCTTCAGAAACTGTGGAAACAGAGCAGAGGATGAAGGCCTGAGGGGGCATTTCTTGTGTCTCCTCATGTCCCTGGGCTGGCTGCGGTGGGATAAGGTGAGATGGAGGAGGGTACCTCTGTGTGTGGCCCCCACCTACTGATACCCTGAGTCAAGGCTTGGTCCAATGCTAGTTCCTGGTACTGACCCAAGATTTTTTTTTTTTTTTTGAGACAGAGTCTCACTTTGTCATCCTTAGTAGAGTGCCATAGCATCACAGCTCACAGCAATCTCAAACTCTTGGGCTTAAGCTATTCCCTTTCCTCAGCCTCCCAAGCAGCTGGGACTATAGGCACCCACCACAACACTGGCTATTTTTATTTTTTAGTTATAGTTGTCATTGTTGTTTGGCAGGCCCAGGCAGGATTCAAACCCACCAGCTCTGGTGTATGTGGCTGGTGCCCTAGCCACTGAGCTATAGGCACTGAGCATGACCCAAGATGTTTTATGAGATTCCAAATCTAGACTAAACACCTGGCCATCCCCCACTGCACCTCCAATGCAGGCCCCTCCAATGGTAGAGTAGCCAGCTCATCATCAAACCTCTGCTAATTAGCTCACAGGCTAGGAACTGGTCCTGGGGCAGGCTGGTCTGGATCAAAGCTGAGGCCTGGGCTTAGCATCTCAAAGCCCAAAGCAAGGGCTCTTTCACCCCTAAAGGCAAACTGTACAGGCTCGGCACCTGTGGCTCAAGTGGCTAAGGCGCCAGCCACATACACCTAAGGTGGCAGGTTCGAATCCCCAGCCCGGGCCCGCCAAACAACGATGGCTGCAACCAAAAAATGGCCGGGCGTCGTGGCGGGCGCCTGTAGTCCCAGCTACTTGGGAGGCTGAGGCAGGAGACTCGCTTGAGCCCAGGAGTTGGAGGTTGCTGTGAGCGTGATGCCATGGCACTCTACCCAGGGGGATAGCTTGAGGCTCCGTCTCAAAAAAAAAAAAAAAAAAAAGGCAAACTGTACAGATGGGGTGGTGCCAGCTTCCCCACAGCTGAGAGGCTCAGGCAAAGTGGTCGGTAGGGCCCAGGAGCAGAGATAGGGGGCCTGACCCAGGGCAGGAGAGAACCCTACCTTTTTGACAAGGTCCCGGGCATCTGGGGTGAGGTAGGGGGGCAGTGCCAGCTTCCCTTTGATTATTTTATCCATGGTTTTCTTCCGGTTCTCTGCAGTGAAGGGTGGCTGGAGGAGGCAGACGGTTAAGAGGAGCCTTGCAGGCCTCCAGCCACTCCTGCCCAGGAAGGGGTCTCCTCCCACCCCTACCCACCCTCCCCCCGGGGAGGCTGGACTTGCCGATCCAGTGAGCATGTCGTACATCAGGGCACCCAGGCTCCACCAGTCCACAGCCCGGTTGTGGCCACTGCGCATCAGGATCTCTGGGGCCCTGGGGGAACTTTCAATCAGTCTAGGCCCTCTTTGAGTGTCCTCCCAACCCCTAGGCCAGCGAGGTGTCACTTACATGTATTCAATGGTGCCACAGAAGGTGTGAGTGACAGCGCCTTCATGGATTGACTCCTTGCAGAGTCCAAAGTCCGTCAGTTTGATGTGGCCTGAGGGAAGAATTTTGCAGTTCAAGGCCCAGGCCCTATTCACAAGGCTACCCAGCCCCAGCCACAGACTGTGGTGATGTGTGAGGCCACATGTGCAGCACGCACCCTGGCTGCTGAGCATGATATTCTCGGGCTTGAGGTCTCGGTAGATGATGCCTTGAGAGTGGAGATGGCCCAGGGCCAGTGTGATCTCAGCCAGGTAGAAGCTGCAGAGACAGAACAGGGTGAAGGTGGGGGCAGGGCAGGGACCTGGCACCCCTCAGGAGAGTGGCAGGAATTATATCTACCAGGCTGTGTCTTCTAGAAAAATGCCCTCTCGCTCCAGATGCGTGAAGAGTTCACCACCTGCAACACAAACAGGTCAGCATCCATGTGCTGGGCCCAGACCCCTTTGCACTCTGTCTTGGTTTCTTCTTGGGGAAAGTGGAGCTCATAATTCCCACCCTACCTTCCTCACAGAGCTGCCGTGGGGATTCAATTCAGCAAACATCTATCGACGCCTACTCGGTACCTGGCCCTGTGCTGGATGAAGCTGGGGACAGGATGAAGAGACCCAGCCATTGCCCTCAGGACGCTCAGTTACTGGGGAGACAGACATGCACACAACTGCTCTAACATGCCACACAACAGCAGCTCCGAGAGCTTAACTCCTCACAAGGGAGCTGAGGGAGACAACAATGAATCCCAACATAAAGAGAACAGAAAGCAGGTGCAGTGGGGCTTTGAAGGGATGCTGACATGGAGGGGAGGGAATGCAGAGTGCAGAGGCAGAAGCTCACAGGCTCATCTGGTACATTCCAGGTAAGCAGGAAAAGCAGGCCTAGACCATTTCAGGGTGAGCAGGGAACAGCAGTCAAGGAGGTTAAGCTTAATCTGGGCAGTCACAGAGCCATGGGACTATGAGCAGAAGTGCTGAGAGGAGCCATGCTTTAGGAGGATGACCCTAGCAATTAGTGGAGGGGACAAAGCAGGTGAGCAAGTGACTGCAAGTCCAGTTAGGAGACTGCTGCCCACCCTCCTCCCTGTCCCTGAGACAGTGGAAGAGATAAGAGGACATTGCAGAGAGTAGACTAGGTGGATTTGGAACCTGACTGGATACAGGGCGCACAGGGGAGAGGAACAGGACATGCAGGGGGAAGAAATAGACACACCACCCGCTGGACTTCCACACAAACTCCCACCATTCCCATCCACCCACAACACAGGTGAAGGACACAGTAAGTGCTGGACAGATGTTTGCTGAATGAATGAATCAATGAAGGGACAGGTGGACAGACAGATGGACAGTAGGTTTACGGGAGTCCCCAGCCATTCTCCATAACCGATCTTCTCAGGACTTTCCCACGCTTCCTGTGCTGGCTCCCCACCCACACCTCTGGTTGGGCCCACACTCATACCACTAAGGCACTCAAGGATGAGGTAGAGTTTGCCACCAGTCTGAAAGGCATAGGCCAGTTCCACAATGAAGGGGTGCTTCACTGACTCTAGAATGTTCCGTTCAGCCCGTGTGTGTGCTGTGTCCTTGGCATTGCGCACAATTTTGGCCTGGAGATGCAGGAATCGGAAGTTGGGGCACCCAGAGCTACTTAGTCCCTCCAGCCATTTACCCTCTGCATCTCCTGCCCCTCCATTGTATTACTCTGTAATTCTGCTGCTGGTAGCAGTCATCCTTTTTAGGAACTGGTTTATCCTCTAACACAGGGTTTCTCAACTTCAATACTGCTGACACCTTTGCTGGGTGTGGTGGCTCATGCCTGTAATCCTAGCACTCTGGGAGGCCAAGTCGTGTGGATTGTTTGCACTCAGAAGTTCAAGACCAGTCTGAGCAAAAGTGAGAACCTGTCTCTAAAAAAATAGCCAGGCATTGTGGCAGGTGCCTACAGTTCCAGCTACTTAGGAGGCAGAGGCAAGAAGATCACTTGAGCCCAAGAGTTTGAGGTTGGTGTGAGCTATGATTCCATGGTACTCTATCCAAGGTGACAAAGTGAGATTCTATCTTTTAAAAAAAAAAATTGGGCGAGGTGGCTCAAGCCTGTAATCCCAGCACTAGGGAGGCTGAGACAGGTGGATTGCCTGAGCTCACTGGTTCCAGACCAGTCTGAGCAAGAGCAAGACGCTGTCTCAAAAAAACAGCCAGGCACTGTCATGGCACTTGTAGTCCCAGGTACTAGGGAGGCTGAGGCAAGAGAATCACTTGAGCCACAAGAGTTTGAGGATGCTGTGAGCTGTGATGCCACAACACTCTATCCAGGGTGACAAATTGAGACTCCGTCTCAAAAACAAAAAAAAATACTACTGACACTTTGGACGAGATAATTCTTTGTTGTAAGAGGGTCTTGTGCATTGTGGGATATCCAGCAGCATCCCTGGCCTCTACTGAATGCCAGTAGTACTCCCTTCTCTAGTCCTGACAATCAAAAATGTACCCAGGCATTATTAAATGTTCTTTGAGAGACAAAACTGCCCCATTTGGGAATTACTGCAAAACATGTATCACAATAGGTAATAAATTAGCAAATGCCAAAGACAGGTACTGTCTTTTCTGTTATGTTCACTCTTTCTTCCCAAAGCATGTTGGGAATGGCAGCCACTCAGGATTTTTGGCTGAACAAATGACTCACCTTCCTTAAAACTTTCATGGCATATATTTTGCCCAAGTTGGTACCTTGCACCTTTCGCACCTGGAACACCTGTAGGGCAGGGGAGACAGGATCAACTTCCCTCCCCACATCCTATCTTCATGAAGCCCCACCCTAATGCTCTATCATTGGGATTAAGAGGCTGAGGCCCCACCAGGGTGGGGCAGTCAAGATTTTAAGTCCAATTCAAGAGGATTTTCCCTACCCTTCTCTATTTTCCTAGGTTTGAATTTCATTAGAGGCTCTGCTGATTTACAAGTCTAATTTTTGTTTGTTTTGAGACCAAATCTCAACTCTGTCTTGCTCTGGGTAGAGTGTCATGGCATCATCATAGCTCAGAGCAACCTCAAACTCCTGGGTTCAAGCAATCCTCTTGTCCCAGCCTCCCTAGGAGCTGGGCTACAGGCACCGCCACAACACCTGGATGGTTTTTCTATTTTTAGTGGAGACGGGGTCTAGCTCTTGCTCAGGCTGGTCTCAAACTCCTGAGTTCAAGCAATCCACCTGCCTCAGCCTCCCAGAGTGCTAGGATTACAGGCGTGAGCCGTCCTGCCCAACCCTAATTCGCTTTGACAAAACTTTGCTACCTTTCCATAGCCTCCCTTGCCCAGTACACGCAGCAACTCAAAGCAATGGGGCCCGATGCGCTCAGGGCCCAGGTTCACGTTGGTCTCAGTCAGCTCCACCTCCTCATAACGTCCTACAGGCCTGTTGACACAAGAAGTTAATGAAAGCAAGGCTTCAGCGCTCCCCAAGTCCCTTTGCCCATTCCATTTCTCCCTCCCCCAACACGACCCTCACTCACTCCAAGCCAGCAGCCTTCAACTCGGCAAGGGGACACACGTCCTGTGAGAAACAGAGGAATAAGAGCCAAAGGAGGTGCCAAGATACCTTCCCCTCCCCGCCAGTTGGATGGACTTCTTGGCCCAGGAGAGGAGCGCTCAGGGATGGAAGCTGGCAGGGGACAGGCAAGGACTGGGGACATGAGGCGAAGACAGAAAAAAAAGAAGAACTAGGAGAAGGGGCTGGAGGCCTGGAAGAGAGGTCGGGGTGAGGTTGAGGTCAGATCTGGGGGCTTAACAGAGGCAGGAACTGAGAAGGATCGGAATCTGCAAGGATCGGAGCCCACTCGTGGTGAGGGCTGCCGCAGCTCCGGCATCAGCCAGGTGACAGCATCGGCTCCGATATCCCGTCTCGCGCGGCGCAGCACTCACCGCAGGGCTGAACTCTGGCTCGCCTTCACCCTCGCTGCCTTCCTCGGTCTCCAGGTCCAGATCAAACACTGCCGCCATGGCGGCGCCGGCCCCGCCGGCCCCTGGGCCAATACTGACAGTACCAGCCGGACTCTCACTGACAGTCTCAGCCCGTGTACACGTTTTTACTCTGCGACAGTGGCCGCGCGCTCCTATGACGCCTGACTTTGCTCCGCCTCCGGAAGGTCTCTTAGCTGGGTGAGGAGGAACACGGAGGGCGTCGCAGGGCCTCTCGGGAGTTGTAGTCCCAGACACAGGTGAGCCCAGCTTCCAGCCTGCGGAACCCCCCTTCAACTGAACCCTCTGTTTTCCCAACACCGCTACTTTAGCTCTGGGAAGAATTTCGGCATGTTTCTCTTTCTTTATTTATTTCTACAAGGTATTCTACTAGAAGAGAGAATCTGAGTTTGGATGCGGCAGAGTCGGGAGTGTGTGAATGTGAATGCAATCCCAAACCTGTGGGAGCCGGGCACTGCTGGGCTGGCTGGGTGACCAGAGGCAGGTCGCATTCCTCTTTTTTGGCTTCTGAAAAGGAGGCGGATCCATCAGGGAAAGCCTTAAAGTGTCTCTCGATCGAGGACCCCGCAGATCAGAACATTTGCTGGCTGACTAGCTCTCTGTTGCCAGGTACCCGTCCTAAAGGGTTTAGGGTGATTGATCCAACTGCAAATATGGGTTTTGCTGGAGTTTGCTCGCTTGCCAACTTAAGCACATTTAATAATTTAGCAGGTCGAGCTGCCAAACCTGGCTATATGAACTTTCAAGACACCCCTTAAGACTGAGGCTCTGAGGGCCAGGTGTGGTGGATCACGCCTATAGTCCTAGCGCTGTGGGAGGCCAAGGCAGATGGATTGCCTGAATTCAGAGGTTCGAGACCATCCTGAGCCAGAATGAGACAACCCCCCCCCCATCTCTACAAAAAACGCCGGGCTTTGTAGCAGGCGCCTGTAGTCCCACCTACTTGGGAGGCTAAGGGCAAGAGAATCGCTAAAAGAAGAAAACAAAACAAAACAAAACCTCAAACTAAGATGAGTGAAAGCCAGTTGAAAGCAAAATTCAATAAATAAATAAAACTTTGTTGTGGCTCTGTGCCTTTAGCTCAGTGGTTAGGGTACCGGTCACATATACCAAGACTGGCAGGTTTGAACCTGGCCCAGGCCTGCTAAACAACAATGACAACTGCTACACACACACACACACAAATAGCCAGTGTTGTGGCAGGTGCCTGTAGTCCCAGCTACTTGGGAGGGTGAGGCAAGAGAATCACATAAGCCCAAGAGTTTGATGTTGCTGTGAGCTGTGACGTTAGAGCACTCTGCAGAGGGCGGATACAGTGAGACTCTGTCTCAAAAAAACCCCAAAACTTTGTTGTAAGAATGAATAACCATGTCAGACTGGCTCTGTTGTTACAGAGTACAAGATTTTAAAGGACCACCAGAGACATCAATTAATTAAAGCCAATTTTAGGTTTTTTTTTTTTTCTAGGAGTTTTTATTAGGTTGGCCAACCGACTGTCCCTCTATGTGGATACAGAGGGAACAGCACAGGCATGAGAAGGGAAGGGTTTATATAGGTAAATTATCTATACTATCAGGGGACTACGTGCAGTCCAGTCAGCAAGCAAGCAACTGACTTTCATCATTGGTTACAGAAGCAAAAAGCATTACAGCACTTGCAGTTACAGCAGTCACAGATCACAAGTCTGGGTAAGAAAACAATTTTACTCCGAACAATGGGTCAGGCAATAATTGCAGTGCCACAATGGCAGCTACTCTTGTTCCTTAATTTTTATTTTAGCTACTTTACTTCTTTCAAGCAAGGGTAAGGGGTTTCGGGGGGTTTCCTATCCCACCTCACTGTCACCCAAGCTGGAATGCGGTGGCATAATCATAGTTCATTTGAACTTCTGGGCTCAAGATATGCTCCTGCCTCAGTCACATGTAGCTGGGACTACAGGCATGTGCCATACATGCAGTCTTGGTCTATGGCTTTAGATTAGGCCTGGATTCTTGTTGGTTAGGACTATGTAGGGGTAAATTTGGGCAGACCAGACCTTGGGGGTGTGAGTTCTGATTGCTGGAGGCTGTGTAGATGTGCATTCAGGTTACACAGGGGAGGCTGGGTATGAACTCAGATGGACAAAATTTAGGGGTCTTTAAGTAGGTTGAGGGTTATGTGGTTGGCTGAGGCACTCTGGTTATAATTCCACCAAAAGACCTAAGGAGATTGTCAGGTTGGGTCCTGATGTAGGTGTAGGGCAGGCCAGATGTCTGGACAGTGGGGTGATTTCCCCTTAGCTCCAGATGCTATAGGTATCCTCTACCTGCCTCTCCCTCCACCCTCCCTTACCTCTATCTGGCTGAGCCTGGGAAGAATTTTCCAATCAAGAGAACCTATCCCAGAATGCAGACACTTCACTAGTCCATAAGCCTTTATTTGGGTAGGAATGCTTTAGGAGCTGCTCATAGCTCCTGTGTGCACAGAGGCAGAGCTCTCAAAGCAGCCTTCCCTGAATTAGGGAGTGTAGCCTCTCCTCTGCCAATGCTAGTTAGTGTGCTAGAGACCAAAGCATTGAAGCTAGGAGAAGGCATGGCATGTGGCAGGGAGGTATTCACACATCTCAGGGCTACTTATGAATGAATGAGGGTGGTGAGGAGGGCAGGGAGGTATTCACACATCTCAGGGCTACTTATGAATGAATGAGGGTGGTGAGGAGGGCCTAGAAGCTGAGTGGGCGTATAAGACATAATCAAAACAGAAACCTAGATCTTGCATCATGTCCCATGACCACCCATCCACTGTGGTATGACCTTGAGGCAATCAGTTTTCCTCTCTGAGCCTGTTTCATCTGTAGAATGGGGACAACAGCATCTGACTAGAGAGGAGAGGGGAGATGATTACTGCTGACCACAGGTCACCTGCTTTTACTACTCAAGCCAAATGAGGCAGGTGGGACACTGATGAAAATTTTCAGCAGGGTCTAGAACTATTCTGGAACTTGGGTAAGAGAAGGACAGGGTCTTTAGTTTCCAGTTTTCCTGGGATTTGTCCAAGGCCAGGGGCCCAGCCAGGCTCTCCCCTCTGGTAGGCAGCAGGAAGAGAAACAGACCTAGAGAGATGGGCAGAGTGGCTGGGTTTTGGCCCACTTCCATCTGGGGAGGTAGAGGCAGTGCATGTATAGATGCTGTCACTTCTCCCAGGCTAGACTCCTGGTGAAGCTATGTGCTGGACTGGAGCCCCTAGCAGTCCCCCAATACTTGCTTTTGTGGTCTTGGCATCCAGGAACCCTTGGTGCCAAATGGACCTGCTGCTCTGGAACATATCTGAAGTGTCAGAGTGGGCCAGACTAGGGCTAGGGAAAGCACAAGGAGCAGAGGGCATCACAGCCCTTTCCTGGCACTGCACCCCTGCCTCCTGGCCCCAGTGTTATTTGAAGTGAGACAAGAAGTGGGCAACAGGGTAGTTGGGCCCATCAATGCCCAGGCCCTGGCAGAGGCCCAGCAGGCGGAGGCGGGCCTCAGCAGGGTTAGGCCCAGCACATGCCACGCTGCAGTAGGGTTCCTCATACTCTCTAGGCACCAGGGCCTCCTCTAGCATATTGAGACGCAGCAGGCCCTGGTCGTGCAGGGCCTGCAGGGTCTCACGGCTGGCAGTGGAAGTCAGGGCCTGCAGGTGCTGGGACACCAGGCACATGACACCTACCAGGTGGCCACGGGGACGTGGATGGGTGGGCAGGGCTGGCCGCAGGCCACAGGCCACCATAGCAGCAGCCAGCAGCAGATCCACACCATAGAGCTCCAGAATCCAGTCGCGCAGGTAGAAGCCGCCCATGCGGGGGTTGATCTCGATGAGCCGAGGCCCAGCCCCTGTCAGCTTGAGCTCCACGTTGAAGACCCCATCAAGCAGCCCACAGCCCAGGCAACAGCGGTAGGCTGCCTGCACCATCTGCGCCTCCTGCTCTGGTGCCAGCCCAGTAGGCATGCAGGCAGCTGTCTCAGTGAAGCCAGGCAGCCTTGTGGGGCCATTGTCAGAGACAAAGGCAGCCAGCAGCCGCCCACCAAACAACACCAGGTCCACATCGTGTTCAGTGCCCTCCACATATTCCATTAGAAGCATGGCATTGCCCCAGCCCAGCCCAATGCCTGGGTGGTCGGCCTCACCCTGCAAGTCTCGGGCGATCTTGGAAAAGTGTTCATGGCACTGTGGTGCATCCTCCACCAGCCTCACTCCCACTGCACCTGCCCCAAACTCCAGCTTCATGACACCTGGCAGGGGAACCTGGTGGACGGCCCTCTCCATGTCAGCTTCACTCTCCAGCGGGCAGCAGGCCACAGCATGAAGGGAGGGTGCAGGCCAGGGTGGGCCGTGGCAGTCTAACAGGTGCAGCTGGGTGCAGCTCTTTTGCTTGGCCAGGCGCATGGCAGCTGGGGGGTTGCAGGGCAGACCCAGCTCTTGGCAGAGCAGGGCTGTGAGCACCAGGCAGTCATCCCAATAAGAGAAACAGCCATCCAGCTGCAGGCCACGCGCCCGAACCAGCTCAGCCAACAGCCTTGCATTCTCCTCATCCCTCCGGTGCTCCGTCAAGTCGAAGTGGATGAAGGTCTGCACCAGCTGGGAAGCAAAGTGGTTGGGGTCTGACTCCACCAGGTGCAGCTGCAGAAACCACAGGAGGGCGGTGCTGAGTACTAGGAAGATAGGATGGGGTGTAGGATGCCCTTCTGGCCCTCCAGGGAGATGAGTTCACAAACATTAGGTGCTCAACAAATATTGCTGATGATCAATTGAATAAATAGAAGGTGCAGAGGTGGGACACCTAACCCAACCTGCGAGGGAGGGATGGCATCCCAGAGGAGGCAATGCTTAAGTTAAGAGCTGAGGAGAGTCACCCAGAAGAAAGAAGAGGTCGGGAACGACAGGCCTTTTCTCCCACCTGCAGAAGGTGGGTGGGTAGCACTGGAGGGCAGAGGGGCAGTTGAGAGAGGGTTCAGTGGTCACTTTTTTCACAGGCAGCATCACTGGCCAGGGCACTAGTAGAGAAACTGTGGTTTGACTGTCATTCACACCACGTGTTCTGACACTGGAAGCTGTCCTCAAAGCTTACTGCCCACTAGGGGAACACAAAAAACCTCTGGCACCCAAGGCAGGGACAGCCACTGAAGAGGGTTGCCGGGGGTGGGAGGGTGGCTGTCTGCACTGTAACACTTAGCATCAGGAGTGGAGTGTGTGAACATACTGTGCAAGGCAGGAAGCAAAGAGATGTGGAACGGCTGCAAGGTAGCATTCCAGAGGGCATGCTGCACTGTGGGAGTGGGGATCAGAGTCTACTGCAGAACATTAGAGCCAAGAGCCAGCCCATTAAGCCCTCGGCTTTATCTGTTCAATAGGAATAAGATTATCTACCCGCCAGGATCTCTCCAGGTTCTGTAACGTGAAGCTACTGCTGTGAACTCAGATTCAGGACCTATAAACTGCTCCCCAGCACCCTCGGAGGACCCTGGGTGCTGACTGGAGGAATTCAATCTCAAAGGGCTCGCCCTTTCCCCGGGACAGAGCCAAACTCCTTTAGCCTGGCATTCAAGGCTCCAGCTCTAGCACTAACAGCGACCCTCAACTCCCCCCACCCCCGACCCGGCCCATCTTCTCCGGGTCCCACTTTCCTTCTTTCCTTGGAGGGTTCCACACCCTCTCAAAGGGCCTTTCACACCTGGTGGGGCAAAACTAGAATAACCCAGGATGTTGTTGGGCCGGTCCCTACGCCTGGGATATGGCTCGCCCCGCCTAGACGCCCCGCCCATACCGCTGCTTGCCCCGCCCCTACGTCCTGCTTCCACCTTGCGGGCCGGGACTTGGGGCCCCGCCCACCTTGAGCCCGTAGTCGCGCGCCGCCTCCCACACGAACTTTTTGCTGACTCCGCCTGCGCCGATCACCAACAGCTGCTTGCCCTCCATGAGGTAGCGCGCCGAGCGCCGGAGCATGGTCTCCACCAGCGGCGCGGCTGCTGCATCGTCAGCCGCCGGTCCCAGGCGTCCCGCGGCCCACAGCCCCTCGAGCGCGCTGCACGCCTCCAAGCACAGGCCGCTGTTCAGCTCCAGGGCCACGGGAGTCAGGGCGCGGCCGGCGACTGTCAGCGCGAAGTCCACGCCTGGGCCGGGCGGGGGACGCTGGCTCAGCGTGGACGGCCCTTGGCTCTCGACCCAGGCGCCCACCACAGCCTGCACTCACCAAGGAAGTCAGTGCGAGCCCAGCGCCCGCCTCGCTGCTCGGCACTCAGGCCAGCCTCCAGGGCCAGCACGGCGGCCAGCGCGTCTTCGGCCGCCGCCTTGACGCGCTGCCTCAAGACCGCCACCTGCGCTGCCTCGCCTAGGCCGCACTGGGCCAGCGCCACCTCCAATGTCCTCGGCAGGGAGTTCTGGTGTCGCAGTGGCCTGTCCCCGCGGCCCACACTGCACACCACCTGGGCAGGGAGTAGCTCAGGTGGCTGGCCCAGGAGGAGCCTCCCCCCACATGCACACCTCTCCTTGTGCCAAGATCCAGGCCAGACCCCTCACTGTACGCTCAAGAAGCTCCATCCTTCAATATGTTTTTTTTGTTTTTTTGTTTGAGACAGGGACTTACTCTGTCACCCTGAATAGAGTGCTGTGACATCATCATAATTCACAGCAACCTCAACCTCTTGGTCTAAAGCAGTCCTCCTGCCTCAGTCTCCTGAATAGCTGGGACTACAGGCACCCGCCACTAAACCAGGGTAGTTTTTTTGTTTGAGACAGACTCTCATGTCACCCTTGGTAGCCTGTCGTGGCATAACAGCTCACAGCAACTTCAAACTCTTGGGCTTAAGCATTCTCTTGCTCGAGCTTCCCAAGTAGCTGGGACTACAGGCACACGCCACAACACCCAGCTTTTTTTTTTTTTTTTTGGTAGTTATTATTTGGCAGGCCTGGCCTGGATCAAACCCGCCAGCCCCAGTGTATGTGCCCTGCACCCTAGCCGCCAAGCCAGTTTTTTTGTTTGTTTGTTTGTTTGTTTTGTTTTTGAGGCAGAGTCTCACTATGTCACTCTGGGTAGAGTGCTCTGTCACAGCAACCCCCCAAGCTTAAGCGACTCTCCTGCTTCAGCCTTCCAAACAGCTAGGAACACAGGCGCCTGCCACAGTGCCCTGCTATTTTTTATTGTTGTTGCAGTTGTCATTGTTCAGCTGGCCAGGGCTGGGTTCAAATGGGCCAGCTGGGTGTATGTGGCCAGAGTCCTACCCACTGAGCTATGGGTGCTGCCAAGTTTTATATGTGTATATATATATATATATATTTTTTTTTTTTTTTTTTTTTTTTTTTTAGACAGAGTCTCACTTTCTTGCCCCCGGTAGAGTGCTATGGCGTCATAGCTCACAGCAACCTCAAACTCTTGGGCCCAAGCGATTCTCTTGCCTCAGCCTCCCAAGTAGCTGGGACTAGAGACGCCTACCACAGCTCCCAGCTAATTTCTTGTTGCAGTTGTCATTGTTGCCTAGTCGCCCCAGGCTGGGTTCAAACCCACCAGCTTGGGGGTATGTGGCCAGCACCCTACCCACTGAGGTATGGGCACTGTCTGTTTTTTTATATTTTTAATAGAGACAGGGTCTCACTCTTGCTCAGGCTGATCTTGAATTCCTCAGCTCAAGTGATCTACCCATTTCTGCCTCCCAGAGTGCTAGGATTATAGGTGTGAGCTGTTCTGCCCAGCCTCTTCGGTGTGTCTTAAGCTGCACAAATCATCCTACCCTACCACAGCTGATGCATTCCCCAGACTCCTTCAGGGGTTCTATCCAGGCTTCCAGACATCTGGGGGTCCTGCTCCTGAAGGGCTCTAAGCAGGCTTGCTTCTAGCCCGGCCCCCTACTAGCCAGAGACCTAGCATCTCCACTGCATGTTTCTCCCCTACTCCACTGAGCTCCCCCACAGCAGGGTTGAATCCTTGCTCCCTGGTTGGCTCAGAGCTGGGTCCTTAGAAGGGTCCTTAAACCTTCTTGAGCTCCTAGCTAATAGTCCCCTCTTAAAGGGCTCCAGATGCTTGATATTTATCAAGAACCCTGGGGCAAGGCTGGGTGCAGTGGCTCATGCCTATAATCCTAGCACTCTGGGAGACCAAGCCAGGTGGATTGCTTGAGTTCAGGAATTCAGGATCAGCCTGAGCAAGAGTAAAGATCCTGTCTTTAAAAAAATAGCCAGGGGCAGTGCCTGTGGCTCAAAAGGGTAGGGCTCTGGCCCCATATGCCAGAGGTAGTAGGTTCAAACCCAGCCCCAGCCCTCCCCCCCAAAATAGCCAGGCGTTGTGGCAGGTGCCTTTAGTCCCAGCTACTCAGGAGGTTGAGGCAAGAGGATCACTTGAACCCAAGAGTTTGAGGTTGCTGTGAGCTATGACACCATAGCACTCTACCAAGGGTGACAAAATAAAACTCAAAAAACAAAACAAAAATAGGGCAGCCTCTTCTGTGGGAAGAAGCTCCTTAGAAGGAAAATTCAGCCCCAGGCCCTGTGAACCAATGGCATGGGGCTGAGTACAGGCCCTGGTACCTAAGCAAGGGCTTCTGATTTGGAAGGGGTTCTGGAAGGGTTAAAAGAGATAGAAGAAATGTCAGACCCAGGAGTCCCTCCAGAGGCAACAAAGATCCCCTCAAAGATTTCATCTCCACTGCCCAGAGACTGCCAAGGGGCTCTTGTCAGATCAGTGGGCCTGGGTGTGGTGGGCAGGGTTATGACCTGGACCTGGATCACGCTTACCTTGCTTAGCAGGGGTCTGTCGCCCTGTGTCCGACACACCACGGCACAGATACGCACAGCCATCTCAGGCCCAGGTAAGAGGCTGCCTGGGGGATGATGGAGAGGTCAAAGCTCAGCATAGAGAAAGCAGGAGGCCAAACACAGCTCCCTCCCCTGGCCACCCTAGATGGCTCTCACCTGGGAAGGGCAGCTGGGCAGGTGGGCACACAGCCTCTACCAGGATGCTCTCTTCCTCCTCCAGCTGCTCCAGCAATGCCAACACAGTGTCCACCACTGCTCCCGGCTCCACCCGCTGGTGCAGATGCAATGCCTGCCGCCCCCGCCAGCGCCAGCCACTGGGCTTCACAGCCACCTGCAGCAGGGAAGAGAAAGGGACATTCTAGACACCACCCCATGTACCTGCAGGATGGGTTGCTCACACCACAAGAGGCAAGGAGTAAACTGAGGTAAGACAGCAGGGGGTTGCCCTAGAGATGGGGCTTCAGGTCTGAAGTGGGGCTAAAAGGTAGGGGCAGAGCCCCAGCAGGACTTGGTAACTATGCCCAGGTCCCATCCTGCTAGCGTCCTGCTGGCAGGACCCCATTACCTGCAGGATATCACCCAGGGCCTCAGAGTGCAGAAAGGCCCCTACTTCCTCTTTCACCAGTGTTTCCTGGCCCTCTTTGCCACTCAGCTCCACCAATCGTAGGCCTGGGCTGGTGTCCCCTTCCTGCAGCAGCCCCAGCGGCTTGTAGGTAAAAGCCAGGGTAGCTGGCACTGTCACACTGCCCTGTTGGGCCAACAACTGCCTGGTCAGCAGCCGGTCCTCCAGCAGCCGGGCCAGCTCGGCCGAAGCTCCTGTGGGGCAGGTCAGGTCACGGGCAAGTTCTGCAGCCTCCCTGCCCCGGCCAGGCCCCTGTCCCATGCCTGCCAGAAAGTAGGTTGCACGGCGTGGAGGGACAAACTCATCTAGGAACGTCAGACCCCCTGGGTGGAAGCTCACAGCCTTGGAGACCAGCAGGGCTGCCTCACCCGGCTGCCCGGGTGCTGGCACCTTCATCAGCCACGCAGGGGACAAGCAAAGGAGCATATTTCCTGTGGGCAGAGAGAGGCAGGTGGCTGGTCAGGGGAGGCTTAATGTCCCCATGCCCTCCACCTCCAGCTTGGGCCCCTGGGTAATAGGGGGCAGCTGCTCCCGGAAACCCACCCCCACTCAGAGTATGGCAGCTGGTCCAAAGGAATGTTGCCAGGGTTGGCGGGTATTTTGGGATGTGGCTGAGCTAGGGCAGGAAGGGTTGCCCTTTCTGCATGAGGGGGTGGGGGAACTTGGGCACAGACTCACCCGGGCTCTGGACCCCACCTTCCAGCAGCACGGACAGAAAAGTGCTTGGGGATCCCAGAATGCACAAGGTCACCTCTGCTCCAGGACAGCCTCAGGAAAAGAGAACATTGCCAAGCTCACCAGGGGCTCCTGTTGCTGTATTTCTGCTCACTTTCCCCCACTTCCAAGCCCCTACCCTCACCCTTGGGACTCTGGGTCCTCCTGGGAATCAGAGGGGAAGCATAAAGAAGACAGGGAGGTGGATGGGGAATGGGAGCTGTCCACCTGTCCTGTCTTCTGAGGCTGGTCCCTTCTCTCTGTAGCTGGCTGGGTAGCCTAGGACCTGGATTCTAACCTGAGCTCTGACTTTCTGTGAGACCTTGGAGAAGTCACTGTTTCTCTAAGCCACAGTTTCCCAGTCTGTACAATGGGACCAAATCTATGATTCTCAAGAAGTTTAACTCATCAGCTGTGGCCACCTGATTTAAAACAGGGGGAGAATCTTGGAGTCCCAACTGCAAGCTGCGTCCATGGCAGCTCCCAAGATACTTCTTTAGAAGCTTTGGTGCCACAGAACCCAGTTCATAAGTCCCAGAGCTGGATCTTCATGGGGAGGAGGTAGAGGAGAGTGGGGAGCACCAACCCTTGACCTTCCTGGTGCCAGATGCCCTGCAAAAAAACATCTGCCTGCATGGGCTGCCTGTCATTGCTTCAGACCAAACCAGAGCCTAGGGAAAGGGGTTGACCTTGACCAGGGTGGGGAAGCAAACCAAGCTGAGGACCCCTCTCTGTCCCCAGGATGCCCCCCTCCATGGAGCCCCCACGCACCTGTGCGGGGCACCTGGCTGCGGTCCTGGGTCTCTGGAAGGCCAGCTTGCTGCAGACAGCTCTGCAGGAGGTGGTAGTAGTAGGCAGTCCAGGCCCGGGCCTTGGCCCCTTCGGGGGCACCCTTGCAGTCCAGGCCCACGTCCTGGTGCCAGGAGCCAGGGAAGCAGCCAGTGGGTGGCAGGCCAGAGCCTCTTCCCCATAGGTCCTCTTCCTCCAGGTCCTTGGACCCCAGAGGATAGTTCCACTTGGGATTCAGTGGATCCAGGGAGAGCTGAGGGGGCAGAAGTGGTGGGTCTTGGGCAGGATGTGCAAGGGGACACTTGAAGTCACTCAAAGGTGTAAAGCCCCCATTCTCCCAATCTGGATTAATTTCAGGGCACATGCCATCCAAAGGACAAGAGGAAGGAGTTGGGCTGGGAGATGAAGGCTTGTCCCTGGGAACATGTAAGTGGGCATGTTTTGTAGACTGTTTTATGTGGTGCCTCCCTCAGGGAGCAGGAAGTAGTGTCCTGTTGGCTGGACCACTCACCCCCTATCCCACCTGGGGTCCAGCTTAGTTTGGTTCATAGGGACAGAGTTTGTCTTGCTCATCAAAACAACCCTAGCACCTGGCACAGTTGCTGCTCAATAAAGGTTTGTTGACTGAAGAATAGATGGATGAATTAACCCAGCAATCACTCTTGGGTTGCTCATTTTCCCCCTAGGCCTCAGTGACCCAATTGTCAGCATGGATTTGCTAATATCTACACAGGTAGATGTTTCACTGTCATCCCCAAGCGGGCTTGGAGACCTTCTGTGCACCCAGCCTGTGCCAGTGCCTGCCTTCTCAAGTGTTTTGAGTCATAGACATGCTTTCTCTGGGTGAAATCTACCACACCTCTCCCTCCTTGAGGCCTGCTCACTCCTACAGGGACTGCTGGGAGGCTCAGTGAACTGATTCTGATTCTTTGTGGCCCCCTGATTTGGACAGGACTGGCAGCTGGTCCTGGCCTCCAGGGGACAGTCTCAGACACCTTGAGCAAGTCATAATGTCTCTCTGGGCCTCATGGTTGCCTGGTGCCTGCCCTGTCCCATCATCCCAGGAGTGCTGATGAGGCTTGGACTAAGAGAAACACTTGATCTTTGGAAGACAGCATGCTGTGTCTGGGATAGCGGAGCACTGAACTTCAGACCTGGACTTGAATCCCACGTCACCAGGGCCAAACTCTGTGTCTTTGTGCCCTCTCCTAGAAGGTGGCTTCCTGGGGGCACAGGAAGGGCGCAGATTCCCTGCTATGACGGCAAATCTGGAATGGTGCTCGGCACATGGTAGGCACTCAGTAAAGGTTGTGGAATGTATGAATGTCAAAGGGGCCTAGTCACTGCCACCACCCAGGGCTGATGGGAAGAGGTGAAGTGTCTGGTGCACAGTGGCTGTTTCTCTGGTGGCATCGGGTGTGAGGGCTGCAGGGGGGCTGGCTATGATTCTGAGCTGTCTGCACAGAGCAACCTCTGGGTTAGACCTCTGGGTGATAATCACTGCCCTCTGGGCCCTCCCTCTGTCCAGAAACATGCATGGGTCTTTGGTTGGGTGCCCATAGTTCAGTGGTTAGAGCAACAGCCCATGCACTGGGGGTGGCAGGTTCCAACCCAGCCTGGGGCTGCTAAAAAAAAACAAAAAAAACCCCCAGAAACATGAGTCTTTGGGAGGCACAGACACAGGAGACTCACCATCTCAGGGGTGGAGAGGCTGAGAGACAGACAGCAGCGACAGGGACAGAAAGACAAAGGAGGGAGTCACCTTCCTGCCCCTAAGACATTGAGGGCAGAGAGGCCATGGCCACTGCCACCTTGCCTCTGTCCTGTTCCCTGCCAGGAGGTGTCAAAGCTGCCCCACCCCCACCCCAAGAAGAAGCGGGATTTCTGCCACTCAGACCCCATGAGTCCTTCCCCCAGCAGCACTTCCCAGGACTGCCCGGCTGCGCTGGGGGTCAGCCCTTCTAGCAGGAGGAAATCCCCGGGGCCCGGTTGGTGGCGGCATAGCGTCCAGGGTCCTGCTACTGGACCAAGACTCTCTGAATCCCCGTCCCCGCGGCCCCGGCCGCTCCCCTCCCTGGCTCTCCCCAGGGCGGGGATCGGAGCCGGGGCTACCTGGAGGCGGCTCGGCTGGGCTCGGTGGCAGACGCGGAGCGTAGGGACTCGGTGGTGGCGGTGGCTGCAGAGCCGGGCTCTGGCGGCGCCTGCTTTATATAGACGCGCCAGGCGGGGCGGTCGAAGACCGGGGACCGATGGGGGACCCGCCCCGCCCCTCCCGCCAAAGTGTCCCAGACCTGGGGGGGGATGGGGCTGGGACTCGGACCCAGCCAGAGGCTGCACTCAGCGGCCAGGGAAAGCTAGTGCCAGCGACGGACAGGCATCTTCAGAGACACAGACTAAGTGTTGACAAAGGGTCAGGTGCAAACGGACAGGGTCTGTCAGAGGATCACGGACACAGAGCTGTGGCAAAGAAAATAAGAGACCCGGGCAGCGCCTGTGGCTCAGTGAGTAGGGTGCTGGTCCTATATACCGAGGGTGGTGGGTTCAAACCCGCTCCGGCCAAACTGTAACAAAAATAGCCTGGCGCTGGTTGGGGCAGGCGCCTGTAGTCCCAGCTACTCTGGAGGCTGAGGCAGGAGAATCGCCTAAGCCCAGAAATTGGAAGTTGCTGTGATCTGTGAAGCCATGGCACTCTACTGAGGGCAACAAAGTGAAAGCCTGTCTCTGAAAAAAAAGAAAAGAAAAGGAAAGAAGAGACTCCTAATGGAGAAGAGACAGGAAGAGCAGAGAAGGGGAGGGGAGCATGGGCGCAGCCAGAGACTGGTATCAGGGCCACCGATGGGCTGGGTAACTGGGAGAGCAGGATGGGGCCCCCCAACCCTACACACTCAGGCTAGGTGCTGTGTCCCAGCCAGGAGCATTATGCCCTATTGCACACTCTCCAGGGTGTCTGGATATCTGTGGAGTCCCTGCCTCACTTCTGGCCTGTGGGTCTGCACATGGGGAGGGGATGTCTGAGACCCACTATGCCTATCAACAACCAGGCCAACTGCACATATGATCTCCCCAGGACACCTAAACACCCACAGAAGCACATCCCAAGGGACCTGGCTCACAGCCACAAACTCAATCCCAGAAATTCATACCCTCCCTAGAGTGTATCACATCAGTGGGGAAAACTGGGCACCTCCCCTCTCTGATCTGAAGCTCCTTTCCTCCTGCTTGAGATAGGGCTTGTTCCTTTCCCACAAGCCTGTGCTGTGGGTTAGCCCAGGATGCTGTACCTGGCACAGGTAGTCTGTTGTCACCATTTCTCCACCTCTCAGTCCACACAGACACCCTCCTTGTCCTGGAGTTGGAGATGCTTCCTGCCCTGCTGGCCTTGAGAGCACCCTGGCCTAGAGGAGAGCTCTGAGGAGGGGCTGATGGCACTTGTGGGGAAGAGGTGGCAGCTTTTGGATCCTTTCTGCAACTATGGACAGAATAGTCTATAAGGATCCACCCCGTCTACCATGGGCGGGGTTCAGAGGGGAAGTGACCTATCCAGGGTCCTTCAGCCCACATTCTCCACACAGCCTCCAAGTCCACATAGAGCTATCCCTGCCAGGGCTCCTAGAATGAAGCACTGACACCAGAGAAGATCCACTTCCTTGCTGCATGGGTGGCCTGAGCTCTTATGTGATCCCACTGTGGGGGCAGGGTGGGCATGACTGTCACCCAAAAAGTATAAGCTTTGTTTGACATTTAATGAGCTATGCAGCCTCTGAGGACTCAGTTTTCTCTTATTTATTTATTTTTGAGACAGAGTCTCACTTTGTCACCCTCGGTAGAGTGCCATGGCCTCACAGCTCACAGCAACCTCAGACTCTTGGGCTAAAGTGATTCTCTTGCCTCAGCCTCCCAAGAAGCTGGGACTACAGGCACCCAGCACAACACCCAACTATTTTTAGAGACGGAGGTCTCTCTCTTGCTCAGGCTGGTCTTGAACCCATGAGATCAGGCAATCCACCCACCTTGGCCTCCCAGAGTGCTAGGATTACAGGTGTGAACCACCTGTCCCAGCTTATTCATTTATTTTTGAGACAGAGTCTCAAGAAACTGGGAATGAACTAGAAGAAAGAAATCCATGAGTTCTTTCTCATTTAACTTGGGGGTGAATTAGACTTATTTCATTTTTTTTTCTTAAAGCTTACAGTCTGGAAATTTGCCAGGAGATAACTGGCATTTTTCCATTATAGCCTAGGCCTGACACCTTTTTGTCTAAGCCAAGGCCTGCTAAGCCTATCAGGACTACAGGTGCCCATCACAACACCCAGCTATTTTTTAGAGACGAGGGTCTCACCCTGGCTCAGGCTGGTCTCGAACTTCTAAGCTCAAGCGATCTACTTGCCTCAGCCTCCCAGAGTGCTAGGATTATAGCCATGAGCCACCACACCCACACTTTTCTCATCTTAATTTTTTAATTAATTAATTAATTTCTTTTTAGATAGAGTTTCACTTGGTCACCCTTGGTAGAGTGCAGTGGCAACCTCAAACTCTTGGATTCAAGTGATCCTCTTGTCTCAGTCTCCCAAGTAGCTGGGACTACAGGCACCCGCC